ACCGTCACATTATAACGCCCCCCACGGCTGAAAGGGCGAGCATGTTTGGTGTAACGGGGATTCGAACCCGCGACCCTCAAATTGCGAGTGAAGCGCCGTAACCACCTGGTCATGCCGGGCCTACGTCTGGAAGTATATATTACATTCTTCGTAGAGCTGAATCTACTAGAAAACATTAAGTTTCTAATCTACGGTGGGTAAACGGTACTTCTACGAACTAAATCGCAACAATCCATGGTTCGATATCCCACGGTGGACAGAGTCCATTGTGTAGCTTTGCACCATGTAAGCAACAAGAAACATCCTTTAAGTTTTAAAACATATTTTCAAATGTATGTCAGTTGTCTGTGGTTGAATTTCAGTTTCATGTGTGTCAAACTTTACTTTTTTTATCATTTTGAGGATCACTCACAGATTTCTGTACACAGATTTTTTATAGTTCCTTAAGTCCTTTTACAGAACCCACGCTTTGTGTGTCTTTCATTAATTAACCTGTTCTCTTAGGCGTACAGAATTTATTTATTAGTGTTTTATTTGAATAGTGTTGCCATTTAATGCAAGAGAGTACTTAAGCCACATGATAGACAGAAAGATCGTATATATATATATTATGATTTCTAGAGGGGGGAAAAAACGTTTTACGCTCTGAGGCAAACAATAACGGCTGCACCGATCATCAAATAGAAACTTGATTCGTGATGTTAACTAGAATACTTATGGGGGCAGGGGTTTACACATGTGGTATGCAGGATTATCATGTCGTCTAACATCTGTAGTGATATAATTTTTTTAAATTGTTGATTATTTAGTTTCCGTACTGTCATAGCGGCAACATGTGGTCCAAGGTGTTTAATAGGCACCCCAGCCCTTTGTTCTTTTGTTAGATGACAAATTCTGCCCTCAAGGTTATTACAGTATATTTTGATCCTGGATTAAAGCTACTTAGAACAAAAATAACCTTTGCAGGCTGAAGTGTGACCTCAACTGAATCTGATAGCTGACCAATGTTGTCTAGAAACAGAGATCATGAAGTGACCAAAGAAAGCTGGTGTTTGAAGTCCAGGCCTTGACTTTGTATTAGTTCTGTTTCCAAGAAGACCTTTTGAAGTTAGATCAACATTTTAGTGTTGAGGTAATCCATGTCGTGGAAAGAAGAACTTGGGGACTAACGGTCGTATAATTCGGAGAGAGGACTGTTCGTTTTAATACGTAGATACGCCCTCAGTTTTCGGTGATTTTAAGTTGTAATAAATTAAGATTTTGGTCATTTGATTGGAAGTGTCTGGGTTCTCTTATTTCCACTATTTTCATACTAACTCCGAAAACTCAGTCGAATTCTCTCACACAGGAAGTTCACTTAAATCACTGGCCCGAACCTGCAGTTATTCGCGTTTCTTTCTAGGAAATCAGTTTAATGTGAAAATACTACATATATATATGTGTGTGTGTGTAAAGGAATGGCCCCTAAGGATAGTACTTGTTTAAAAAACTAAAAGAGCAATTGAGAGATGGCATACTCTATATTTTCTAACTTGTAAAATTTCGTTAGCATCTTTTAACACAAAATAATCTTCGTGATAAAATTTAAGTGGTGTCACTTGTAATATTTGACCATAAAAATCCCACTGACGATTTCTCGCAACTAAAACAGTACATAAGACTTGCGTTGAAGTTTTTTCCATGTCTGAAAAATACTAAATAAAAATTAATCGGACTCGAAATAAGAGAAAGTATACTCGTACATTAAATGTAAATGTTTGTTATAGGCTGTGCATGTGAGAAATATGGAGTTAATTCCGAACACTGCCAAAATAATGTGCCGAAACATTTCTTTCAGAAAGCAGTGATAACTGATATAATAAGCTTTAGTATTTCAAGTCCTTCATTTTTGTTGAAATATGTGCTGATACTTTTACAGAGGATAGAAGAGTGTGAGGGCAGAGCGGTTATCTCTACTGTGAAACCTGTCAAATCACCTTACCCACTTGTGGCTGTTTCACCCCTTTAAAAACAACAAAGAAAAGTAATAGGCTAACAACACGTTCGACGAAGATCCTCTAAAAAGATCCAATAGACTGGTGGAATCTCAGTGATTAAATAGAGTCTGTTTTTACGGTAATTCTATGGTTAGGGTGTCATACAGGAAAATTGTTTTAACGGGGCTACAAATTGCATTCAAAAGTAGGTATCACTTTTCACCATGATATAGGTCCAGCTTATCTCTTTAGTTAACTTGTGTTTAAGGTTACTGATGAGGAGTGGAATTCTCCGAAACTAGTATAACACAAAAACACAAGTTGATCAAAGTGTAGATTGAACTGGAATTCCCTCGAACTTAGACTTCGAAATTAAACTTTTTTTTGGAATACTAAGTTTTTTTCAAAAGTAGATACCAAAGTTTGTTTTTCCTCGTCTGAGTTGAATATTTGTTACAACACTTCTGTTCAAGTTTGTCAGTTTTTGTTTTTTTTCACAGTGGTTTACGAGCATACGACTAACTTAGATGAAAACTGGTAAAGTTATGAGAGATAAATGTGTAATTGGTTTGGTAGATATTATGAATTGATTATAATAAATAAATAAAGTTGAGGTGTAGAAAAAACGAAACCGTTTATTAAGATGCAAGTACAGGGAGTCGCTGTTATACGTCGTGATTCGTTCCATGAAAGTGGGACGTACGTCTGAAACGACGTTAAGCAACACAATCTTTAGATATGTTATGGGGGATGCGTGCCTGAAAAATTTCGGTCCAAACTTTAATAAATGTTTTAAAGAGTATAACATGGCTTTTTTAACTACAGTGTACTACACAAAACATTCATGTAAGAACATTAAAGGACTAAACAGTTTAGTGTCAAAGTTAATAGTTTTCCTGGGTTTCTTTTCACTTCACTATCACTAGGTGGCTGCTTCGGAGCCATGTTGGAAGGGTGGAAACAATGCTTTTCTGTAGCAGAAAAAAAACAACGTCATTAGAGAGTCACACGCGTACTCAACGTGTTTACATCCTCCGCCGTCTTGGCCAGTGGACGATGTATCACACTCCGCTCAGTAAATTAGTCAGACATTGGCAACGTTGTTTCATACACATATTGGTAGTAGAGTACTGTACATTAATTGGTGAACATTACGCCTGGTAAAGTAGTCTGAAAATATTTTAACACTCTAATAATGAAACAAGGCGACCTTGTTTCATACACATATTGGTAGTAGAGTACTGTACATTAATTGGTGAACATTGCGCCTGGTAAAGTAGTCTGGAAATCTTTTAACACTCTAATAATGAAACAAGGCGACCTTGTTTCAAAAATATTGGTAGTAATTGCTAAACACTACACCTGGAAAAGTAGTCAACGACGTTAGATCGCTCTAGTAACGTTGTCTGATACATGGGTAGTAACTGGTGAACGCTCTAATAATGAAACGACGCAGAGCGATGCAACGTTTAACAGAGACCCACTGTAATTCTTTAAAAATCAGCGAGGTTTCAAACGAAATATATAGAAGTTATTGGTTTAACTCCTTTTATAACTGTGAATATGTACAACCGATAAAAATCATTCAAAAATTAGCTAGAAAAACGTCTATTTACCAAGAAGAAAGACAATGGGTCTCGAAATAAATGAATCAAATGCACAGAGACTGTATTTCTCAACTAATTTAACATAAAACATTCTTATTAAAGTTTTTACCAAGTCTACTTTGTCTTACATCTTTTTCCTATTCAAGTATACCAATTTCATCACAAATACAGTGTCCTATAAACGTCTTAGAAGAGGTATTCTACATTACACGACACACGTTGGAAAGATGGACTCAATGTTGCCCGTGCGAATGTTCGTATCACATTTTCCGGTAAACATATAAATATGTAAAACTAATTTGTTGACGTTCAAGTTTTTTTAAGTGTAAAACTCACGAGACTGCGAAATGTGCTTCAGAACTAAAGTTTAGTAAATGTAGAGCCAGGTCAGTCAATGCATCAAATAAAAACACTGGAACAACAGTTCGACCACGAGGCTATCTTCTTTCGGGATCCAGTTGCCGGACCTTAGGCCGAGAGGAATGCGCATCTCCTCGGGTCTGTTCAGTAGAGCTGGGAAAGTTAATGTACAGGCGCAGTCTTTGCTGGAAAATCTCCATGGAAATAATATAGAATCGTCTATTAAAGGGGATGGTTTAATAATTTAATAATGTTTAATAATTTTCGAAAAAAAACTCATTCTAACCATAAAAACAAGTGAGTAGCAAAGCAACCCGCATAATCTAAAGCTGTAGCGGTTGATGGCTTAGAACACAATTTGTGAGGTCGAGGTTGGCACGCTAGCTGTGCAGTGTTGAGCCATAATCCTCGTAGAATGTCATGTACGGGTTGTAACTCTCCTGCCCACATGTCTGAAACAAAATAAGAACATGCCACGTGACCAAAAGCTCGCCCAAAAGGTTTCTACTATTAAAACAATACATTTGTTACAAAAAGAATTCAATAAACTGGTTTGAACGTTGATGTCTTAGAATAATAGTAAGTTGATTATGCTATAAAAAAAATCGACATGCAAAATGTACACATTATTCTGTGTCGTTTTTTGCACAAAAAATCATAATGTTAGTAGGTTGTAGCAGAAATTTGAAGTACTTTTATATTCTCTGTCTAATCCACTGCATTGCGATTCAGCCGAAGATCAAATAAATACGTTTCTAACAAAACTTGAACAGCGAAATGATTTCTTTTCACAGCAATATATAGGGATAAAGTTTTTAACACATCAAAATGTTCGTGTAATACAAACTGTGAAAAACCTTTAATATTCTTAACGCTTACAAACGTTCTAATTACTCTAACGAAACTTTAATATTCTTAATACTTACAAATGTTCTAATTAATCTAACGAAACTTTAATATTCTTAATACTTACAAATGTTCTAATTACTCTAACAAAACTTTAATATTCTTAACACCCACAAATGTTCTAATTACTCTAACGAAACTTCAATATTCACTACACACGCTGTGCTCGAGTTCAGGTCACTGCGAGAAAGCTTTAGTGTGTTTCCAGTGTCAGGAATTCATATATAATGTAATATTATTTTTGTTACTTCATTACGTTAGTGTGTGTTGAGTAGTGTAACATTAAATCGCCAGGTTTATGTTAATTCTGATCATTTCGATCCCCACAATTAGTATAACGTACGTTTCCTTTATTTGTTTTCACAGTGTCGTATTAGAGTGAAGATGGAGAAAACTGATTAACAAAAATTAACTCCATATAGTCAGACGATCTTATAACCATAATACTAATTCATAAGACCCGAGTTTGAAATTTCATACATGTGCGTTGCTGTTTAATTGTATACATATAAATTGGTTTCTCTAAGTTACTCTTTAAAACACGTGTTTGAACAGGTAACGAATAAACGATCAAAAGTTAGCATTTGTAAATTATGTATTCGTTTAGTACCATGTTAACAACTGACAATCTTTATTTAAATTAGAAATCAGGAACATTTGCATAGAATAGAAAAAGTTTATTTTCCTGTTTCACTTTTTTTGCCCAAAGCTACACAAAGAACAAACTGCGCACAGTCATTTCTAATTTTGAGATGATAAACTATATACTAAGAGGGAAGGCAACTAACCAACAATACACACCGATAATTGATGGGGTGCTCTTGTATGATCGAAAAGTGGGTTTTCACCGACCATACTCTTGTAACGAACCTACTACGTTAAAGTGCGGATAACGTTCTTACGACAAACAGTACTGATCAGTATTATATCTCATCAACTATCTATAGGATCTATCTATAGGTTAGACCTATCTGTGATCAGATAGGTCCAACCTAATGATAGCTGATAGGATACAATACTGATCAGATAGGTCCAACCTACAGATAGTTGATGAGATACAATACTGATCAGATAGGTCCAAACAATAGATAGTTGATTAGATACAATAATTGATGAGATACAATACTGACAGATAGGTCCAACCTACAGATAGTGATTCAGATAGGTCCAACCTACAGATAGTTGATGAGATACAATACTGATCAGATAGGTCCAAACAATAGATAGTTGATTAGATACAATAAGTGATGATTATAGATAGGAGTTAAAAAATTAAAGCTTAGGCGTCTAATTACAGTGTTAGTCTCTACATATTCTAGATAAAAGACTGCAGAATTTTTATAGTGTTAAGTTTTTATGTTATCTTCTTATAGTAAAAACAAGAAATTGTTCTTTAATAGAATAAATTAAAGTTGTTTATAAGTAGATGTATGAAATGGACATAGGTGGATAAATAGGCAGAATGAGTAGTTAAATAAACACAGAAACATGAAACACAAAGTAGTATAGAGGGCAAGTCCATTTCCAGGGTTTCTACATGGTCACCTTTAGTGTTTCTTGTTGCCACAGGGCACGAACGCATCGCTTCCCAATGCAAGCGCGTGCCGTGCACGTATTTCCACGTTTCAGTGATTTTGAAAAGACAGATAATCGGGTGTTAAACTTAATCCGCCAGCCTGCTAATTTACAGAATGATTGAATAATGGGGATCTTTAATACATTATCTATTTCTTGTGACAGGAGCAGGTAAACATATGATAGAGTTTATAATTCGTAGAGACATGAACTTCGTTATTTATCCAAAGGCCAACAATAAACACAGGTTTGTAAAACTAAGCCATACGTGCTATAGAATAACGTGGATTTATAAATCAGGCAATATAATGAGGGAAAGGGTACAAGCATAACGAAGGAAAAGTAGTTCGCATGACATATGGTTCAGAAAATCCAGGGAAATTAATATCGAATCTGGAATAACTGCTGAAAAGGCGTAAAAAAACTACTAAAAACATAATGGTGATTGTTCTACTAAGATAGTCAAAAAACGTTCTAAAGATTTCTACCTACATTTTCCAGCGTGATCCAACGTTGGCTAGCATCATTTTCTTTGTTTACTGTTTCTACTTCTGCGGCATCCAGCAAATCATCTAAGCTTTGAAGTGGGTCCATAGGAGATGTCTGGACTGTTTCCGCCTCTTCTAGCATTTCTTGGAGTGCAGCAATGTACTCGATAGCTCTGTGTAACGTTTTTACTTTGGACAATCTTTTGCTCTTATTTTCAACAGGGACGCACTTACGAAGTCGAGCAAAAGCGTTGTTCACGGCCTGGACGCGCCGTCGCTCCCTGGCATTCCGCCTGGCCACTAAGTGAGGAGGTTTCTCTCGATGAGGAATGTGTTTGTAAACAGACTTGCCCCCGTTCTTCCTAGATAATTTCTTTCTAGAATTCGGCTGTTGCTGGGAGGTTGAAGACACTGTTTGATGGGGCGACCGACACGTGGCTAGTTGAGACGGAAAACATGTGTTCTGCCCGTTCTGAACACCACTAAACCGGTCTATTCCAACAGGAAAGTCCCAACCTTGAGGTGGTGAGTTGGGCAGCAGTGTTGAACCATATTGACAAGCAGGCAAGTCGCAGATGGGCATGATCCCTTGCTCCATGGTCTCGACCTCTTGAAAACTAGAAACTATTTGCCAGGCTCAGAAATTGAAGTTTTTTTCTATTTTTTTAACGAAACGTCAAGTGAAGTCTCTAAGATTTTTTTATGCCTCCTGGTGTACGTTTCTTACCCTCACATGATAGCGTATCATGGTTTTGTGTTGTTTCTTTCTTTGGCTTTAGCAGCAAAACGTATATTCAGAAAACAACGTTTGTGATACTGGTACAATAGTTGACAAGACGTTCAGCTGAACATCATCGTTTCCAATGAACACCTGGTCGAGCTGACATTTTATGCAGGCTACGTACTCCCGTTTGTTTGTCCACCTCTTTATCGTTTTCATTGCTCATCCTACTAGTCAATCTCTACACAGCAGGGCGTGCCATCGCGCGCGACACGTGCGGTGCATGTCACGCTTGACCAATCACGAGCCTGATGCATTACGTGTATTATTAATTCGTTGACGGCGGTGGCGAACCGAGATTGTTACCTCGTGCAGCGCACGTGCCTTTTACACTGCGCTCACAATCAGTGGCGTAATTGGATAATAATGTCAAGAAAAACGCGGCATCGACAAAGTCTTTCGGTTACTTCACAGATATACTCGCAAATCTCAAAAAACAAGCGCGAAATGTTTGAATAAAAATAAACAATAAGTGATGGATTTTAGAAAAAAAGAAACAATGAAATAACAAAATGCGTTTCTCATTAGTTTGCAAACTTAGCTGACTGGTAGTTTTTCTACATTTTTACTTCTCTTGTGTACTATTATATCTTATATATTGATCTTAAGATATATGAAATAAAATAGCATTCAGCTAAGAACTGCAGTTCCAAGCTGTATCATCCATCCAGCTACGTCAGCGATTGTAATTAGTTTTGTACGTCTTTAGGTATGAGAAAAAGCAAACGTATTTTTATTACAATCTATACTGTTAACCTCAAGGTAATACTAAATCGAGTGCTAATCTACGTGAAAATAGATAAGAGACAAACACGCTTCTGCCCTTAATGTTAATAATTATATTTTATAATAGAGCTAGAATTTCAGCATTTTAAACATTTGTTCTGTTTTCATAGAAGTAACAATGATCTAATTGACAGTAATACATTGAACAATGTGTATCCTAACAGTTACATGTTTTGAACAATATGTATCCTAACAGTTACATGTTTTGATATATATTTATATAATAAATGCTAACGTTCTGGCTTTCGGATATACATTAATTACTAGATAATAAATATTAATTATTTTTATCTACTAACTATAACAGAGATATGAAATATTGTTTATGTTCTATGGTTGATTGTCTGGAATTAGATTTCGCACTTTCCAAAATTTTAGTAGTCCTAGAAGTCTTAAAACATCAACAAGTTTTGAAGAGAACTGTTCTCTGAAAGTTTTATTCTGAGTTCACAATTGTATGTACAGAGTTTTAATACATGATTCAAATAACTATTGATATTCCATGATAGGTTTTACTACAACCTAAGTGCAAAATCTGCATAATTATTTACGTTCAAGTTAACAAGTTCGTCCTTAATCATCCGTTTTGGCTTTAAGAAAATTTTGTTACTAGTGTAGAAAGAAAAACATGGATGGATTAAGCTTCTAAATCGTTATTTCAACAGCATTAATAACGTAAACTTCGTATTTAGTTGCACAAACGTTTCAACTATATACGCCGACGCGTGGTGAAAAAGTCGACATCAAGTCGATGACTACTACTAAAAGTCCCTTAACAAAAACTGTGCATTCGGCTGTTTTCCAAACGATGGAATTTCTTTCATTTATATATTCAACGACTTGTTTGATTGTATATTTCTTTTTTCTTTCTAGTGGCATGTATTTCATGAGACAGTTTTTGAGACTTATGTAACACCTCCAGGATTCCTTATACAGCAGCTGTCTGTCAATTCACCATCAGCACCCGGAGGAATGTGTGCCTTGAGGGGGACAGGTGAGCCTAAACCCTCCCGGCCCTCATTGGCACGAGACATGCACGCGAAAGAGCCCTTCCTCGCCTTGTACGAGATTTGCTGACCCTCGTGCGGAGACTGACAACCGCCTGCAGAGGACTATGCGGCAGCTGGCGCGAGCACACGTGACAGAAAACGTAAGGTCAAAAGTTAAGATACACCACACATGAAGAAGGTATAAAAAATAGTTATTAAGACTTGTTGTTGTTCTTGGCATCTAGTAGTTCAAGTGTCTCATTCAGTACATAATTGTTACTCAACAATCAAATATGTTGAAATATTCTGGTAATATTTAATAACTGTTTGCTTATTGAATGCTTATAATAAAAGAATATTTCTTTGGTATATTTTAATTATACTTGTATTTTATTACAACTGTGAAGTATAAGCCAAATACTTATAATAAAAGTATAATTCTTTGGTATATTTTAATTATACTTGTATTTTATTACAACTGTGAAGTATAAACCGAATACTTATAATAAAAGTATACTTATTTTGTAAATTCTAAATATATCCTTATTCTATTGCAACTGTGAAGTATAAACGGAATACTTATAATAAAAGTATACTTATTTTGTAAATTCTAAATATATCCTTATTCTATTGCAACTGTGAAGTATAAACGGAATACTTATAATAAAAGTATACTTATTTTGTAAATTCTAAATATATCCTTATTCTATTGCAACTGTGAAGCGTCAGCTAGCAGAGACTATGTAAAATATTGTTCATATAATTGATGACCTTACAGATACTCATATTAAGCGAACCATAACGTTTGTTTCCTTCTGTTTAAATTTTTATTAACAATACCCAAATATTTTTGGTACAAAAAGTGCTTTCGTGAAATAGTGAGAAATATAATCATTTTGCATTTCTCAAAGCAAACTTATGAACGTCGAAACAAAACCTTAAAATTTACCTCAGTATAGTACGCTTGAAAAGAGTTAAAGCAGAAAATAACCCGTGTATTACTGCATACAACTCATTATAGAGCAGCGTCAGCGTAGCTATAACTCTCACAAAACTCTCAAATGTTTCAATATTTCCTACACTTGAGAAGCTGATGTGATTTGTTAAAAAGAAAACATTACACACACACACACATGTAAAAAGTCACACCATTGGAAGTTTGATAAGATTTTAGCGTAAGAAATATGGTAGAAACATTAGGTTATTTAAACAACAAGCTATACTCAAGTTTCCAAAGCCTTATTACGTCCGCTTAAAAAGGCATTGTTTAGTTTGATACAAGTTCCAAAGCCTTATTACGTCCGCTTACAAATGTATTATTTATTTTGATACAAGTTTCCAAAGCCTTATTACGTCCGCTTACAAATGTATTATTTATTTTGATACAAGTTTCCAAAGCCTTATTACGTCCGCTTATAAAATTATTATTTACTTTGATACAAGTTTCTAGAGCCTTATTACGTCCATTTATAAAGGTATTTTAGATTTTATTTTAAGCTTCTAGAGACTTATTACGTCCGCTTTTAAAGGTATTATTATTCTGGTACAAGTTTCCAGAGCCTTGTTACATCTGTTTATAAACGTGTCATTTATTTTGGTACAAGTTTCCAGAGCCTTATTACGTCTTTTTATAGAGATATTATCTATTTTGGTATAAATATATGAAAATCTCAACTGTTTTGCTGAAATTAACTTTCCTTTAACGTCAAGCGCTTTGAAATACCAAGTTTTCTTCAAGAAGGAGGAATGCATAGCTGGAAACTTTTGACTTTAACGACTGAAGCTGATACTTCTGTCGATTCTCTAAGAAGTATAAACTTATAATATAATACTAACCTAGTGAAATATGACATGACAAAAGGCAACAGTTTTAGTAAAGTTTTTAAGGAACCGAAGTCCCACACCAACCTTTTTAAGTTACGAATAAATGATTGAATATAGTAATTAGACACTTCGATTTTACACAGTTTAATTTTGTCACAATCCGTCTGGAAATATGGATTTCTGTACAAATTCAACATCTTAAATTAACTAACCTTTATAATGCTGTGAAGATTACTGAAAAATTATACTATCAAAAATTAAATTAAATTAAAATTAGTTGTATTGCAGTAAAGAGCCCCCTTTGAGGTGATATTTTAGTTAACGCTGAACGCTTAGGTTAACCAATCGTATATAGATGAGAAGAGAAAAAAGTTAATCTTATATTTAAACTGTTAAGCCTTCTTTAACGCGAATATTATATTCATTACAATACAATTAAAACCGTAATTTCTCCGAAAGGGGGCCGAAGGCCGCCTGGAGGGGTCACCTGTTTTCACCACTCGCACTACTATACAGTAGTATGTTGTCTGTCAGTTAATCAGTAGACACTAAAATGACGTCACATAAGATATGCTTAACGTTGCATTTTGTACTGTCGTGGCGTCAGTAAAACGTGCGCATGTCATGAATCACGAGGAGAAGTATGCACTCTATAGGCTTCAACACAATATGGCGCATGAACTTTAAGAACAAAAAATAAACATATTTGTTACTGTTAATTTTGGTTATTTTTACTCTTGAAACAGAACACAGTCGGGTACCCTGCGAATGTACGTCTAGTATATATTATTTATTATCCAAAACGCTTTTGTCCTGGATATTTTATACATTATAAAAATTATGGGATGTGGATTTGGATCTTAAAATAGAATTAATCTATTAATACAAACTATCAGAGCAAGGCTAATTTCTTCAGTTATATATATAGCATAATGAATCTTAAAACGGTCGTTGTGAATAATATTTTATTTTTCCATACTGGTGGAAAGCACACTCCCGAAGATTGATAATCACACCGCAGGGCTTTAACTATGTGAAAGTGTTTTTTTTTTTCTTTTACGTCCGTTAAAGAAATTTAGGAACACTTTTTCAGCTATAGGTGCCGGTTTCTAATACACACACAAACACGTAAAGGGATTCTTAGCTATGTATACAGCAGAGCATATTATATACTTAATGACAAATGACATGTTTATTTCATATAATGACTTGTTATAC